ATAATAATAATAAACACAGGGAAGATATTAAGAACATTTAACATAGTTCCAGCTTCATTATATAAGCTTCGTAAGGCACAATTATAACAAAATATGTGTCCGCAATCCCCAGCACCAAAATTTTCAACAATTATATTTTCAGTGCGTATAATATCATTGGCTTTAAATCTTCTAATTTAATATGGCGTAATTTACAATTTAACCGGTTGCAAGTTTTAATTTTAAAATCGCCACATATATTAAAATGTTGTATACTTCGGCCGACTTCTCTTTTAATATGTTCAGTCATTATTCCTGTCGTCTCATATCGAAGTTGTCCCACGCTAGTACAATGTAAAAATTGGCATCTTTCATTGCGGCATGTAGTGTTTTGATATTCATAACAGTATTTATATCTATGCAAAAAAGTGCAATCTTGATCAAAGCAGCAATTATTTTTAAATTTTATGCAATCTTGGACGATTGGCTTCCTGAAATAAAAAGCATTTGTCACAGTAAGATATATAATTAATTATATATGTATGTAATTATATATTATATATATAAAATTAATATATAATTACATACATATATAATATTAATTATATATGTATGTAATTATATATTATATATATAAGTAAGATATATAATTAATTAAAAAAAATTGTATGATTGTAAGATATTTAGAAATCTCTAACCTTAAACCGTAATAAGACATCTTTTCTTATAAAACGGTAATAATAGCAGATGGCAATAAACAACAGTGAGGACAAAATAAAACGACAAGAGCAATAATATTAACGACAAGAGCAATAATGTTAACGACAGAAGCAACAATGTTAACGACAAAAGCAATAATGTTAACGACAAGAGCGTTCACTGAAAATTATACTACATACTGGTGGATAATCAGCACGATTTGTAACATCCACTGAACGCGCCCTTTCACATAAGCATAGCTATATTGTATATAGATGGAGCTTTGTGTCATCTTCCGCGATTGGTTCCCTTCTCGTTCCGCGTTAGATTAGGTTATTAATCCGCTACATGGGTTTGCATCCTTAAGCCCGTATCAGACTATGCATTGAAAATTGAAGATTGGAGATTAAAGATTGGAATTTGACTAATCAGAACAAAAGGGACTAAAATTTCTTTGTCCTGATTGGTCAAATTTCAATCTTGAATCTTGAATCTCAATCTTCAAATAGTCTGATACGGGCTTTAGAGCCACGTCTGCCAAGATAAAGAGGAGATTTTCCTCTCTTGCGCATGTTCATTTGTACGTTTCTCTTGGCGGATGCACATCCATTTGTAAGGACTTAAAATTTGCATTAAAATTTTAAGAAATTTAAGAATTAACAAATGCGAGAAATTAAATGTATTGTATTTTTATTAAACACAGTATCTTCTACATAAAATAGAAGAGGTAATTCTCTCGTCAGCAATAGGTTATTTTCTTGGCCGTCGAGAGGAATGCGATTGCACATGCGCGAGGGAGGAAAGTATCTTAATGGGCGCATTTAGGAGACACAACTGTTGAGCATCGTCTTGTCAACACTCGACGTTGATTTGTTGGTTCTAGAAGTAAGAACCAATCACGTTCGATTGCTACTCAATAGTTGTGTCTCCTGAACGCACCCATTATCTTAGCAGACAGTAAGGCCGGATTCACACCCTGGCAGAAAAGCAGAAAGCAGAAAAGCAGAGGCCAGTCAGAACTCGCGCTGAAAAAGCAAAATGTACTGCTTATTTTCAGCGCGAGTTCTGATTGGCTTCTGCTTTTCTGCTTTCTGCTTTTCTGCCAAGGTGTGAATCCGGCCTAAGATAGATAAAGCTCTATCTATATATAATATATCTATGCATATAAGCCTGGTGTAAACGTACGGGATGACAAAGAAGGCATTTTGTGATCCTTTGTCTCCTTTCTTCTTAGCTCTTGCACTGGTGTATGTGTATAGAGTCGACACCACTAGCACCATAGACTTCTGACGGTGATTCTACCACTAGAAAAGAAGCCCTATAACAGAAAGAGACAAAAGGTCACACAATGCCCTCTTTGTCATCCCGCATCTTGAGTAGCACGGCGCTTTCCATACGTATATAATTCAGTGGTAACATCTTAAGATTGTACTTAAGACGCTCTTATATATAAGAACTAGAGAGAAATCTGGATATCGATCATGTAACTTCTTCCCTAATGCCCGGTTTACAATAAGTCGTTAGTCGTTACTTGCAAGCAAATTGACCAACCACAGTCGATTATTTCGAGAATAATCTTGGAATAATCGACTGTGGTTGGTTAATTTGCTTACGACTGACGACTAACGACTCATTGTAGACCAGGCTTAAAACGGAAACGTGAAAAGTAAAAAATATTACCATTGAAATTAATGGCTTTCCATATGTATATAATTCAGTGGTAACATCTTAAGATTGTACTTAAGACAATCTTATATATAAGAAGCAGAGAGAAATCTGGATATTGATCATGTAACTTTTTCCCTAAGGCGGAAACGTGAAAAGTAAAAAATATTACCATTGAAATTAATGGCATAATTTTCCACTTTTCACGTTTGCGCCCTAAGGAAAAAGTTACATGATCGATATCCTGAAGGCCGTATTAAAAACGAACTATGAATACCAGCCCTGGGGATAACGTGTAAACCACGGTTTACGCTTGTTGCATTATCCCCACCACTGTCGAGCCGGTGAGCTCGGACCTCGATCTAAAGGTGCCTTTACATGGCAGCGTCAAGCGTCAAGCGTCGAGCGTTAAGCGTCTGCGCAGAATATTGTTGCCCAGAATTATATTTCATTTATTTTATTATATAACAGATGTGTGTGTGTGTGTGTGTGTGTGTGTGTGTGTGTGTGTGTGTGTGTGTGTGTGTGTGTGTGTGTGTGTGTGTGTGTGTGTGTGTGTGTGTGTGTGTGTGTGTGTGTGTGTGTGTGTGTGTGTGTGTGTGTGTGTGTGTGTGTGTGTGTGTGTGTGTGTGTGTGTGTGTGTGTGTGTGTGTGTGTGTGTGTGTGTGTGTGTGTGTGTGTGTGTGTGTGTGTGTGTGTGTGTGTGTGTGTGTGTGTGTGTGTGTGTGTTATTATTAATCAAAGATATATTATGAAACGTTACTACTCTGGCAATGTAAATTAAAATTAAATTAAAATACGAATGCGGCAAGAGATTTTTGATGGTTGAAATATTCAAATAAATAAGACACAAAAAGGAATTCACAAATGACAAAACGACACAGTTTGGAAAACTATTGTTAAAAGTAGGAAATGATTTAAAGGAGCAGTATGTTATAAACATGCAGAAAAAAAAATATGAAAATTATATCTCTTAATCCTTGATTAGATTCTAATATTCTGCTGGGGGATAGTAACGTTTTATATATATTTTGTTTAATAATAATAATATCTATTGTGTATAATGTAAATAAATATCAATTTTCAGTATTAGTAATGTGTATCAGAACATAATTTTTTTTATCTCGACCGAATTCATATCACTCATCATGCTATTAGCCGCAAGAAGCTGGAATCTATCTCATTTAGATTCCTGCGCAATGATTTCTGCGCAGACGATCGATGCTCGATGCTGCCATGTAATGGCACCTTAACATCACCGGCCTTTCCTCTGCTAAACGTGGTTAACGCAGTCATGTAACGTAATTGCGCCTGCGTGCAAAATCCTGCTCTATACTATCGTTTGAATAAGTTAGAAAAAGTGCTAAAGCTATTATCGTTAGGATTATGTCGTCTTACTTTGCTCGTTGTCATTCACTTTGCTATTGTTGTTTCGCTGTTGTTGTTCTAACAAGATAACTGGGTTACTAATATTGCAATTAATTGACATTGATCTGATAATCAAAATGTATAAACTAATATGTGCCAGTAAATATTATAATGTCTATAATAAAAGACAGATGAAAAAAAAGGATTGAAAAATCATGCATTATTGCAACTAATAGTAAGTATCATAAAAATTAAATCTATAATCTTTAAAATAAAGAAAATATCCAGAACATTTTAATTCTCGTAAGATCTATTTGTATAATTCATGTCTTTGTAATAAAAGTGCAGGATATTATAATTATGTATTTAAAATTTTTTATGTATGTTATTTTAGAAAGCAAATTCAGCTTGCAACAGATCGCAGACAATTTAAACAAGAAAATTCCGAAAGTAAAGTTAACAATTTTAACAACATCTGGTCAGTCATGTAACGTAATTGCGCCTGCGTGCAAAATCCTGCTCTATACTATCGTTTGAATAAGTTAGAAAAAGTGCTAAAGCTATTATCGTTAGGATTATGTCGTCTTACTTTGCTCGTTGTCATTCACTTTGCTATTGTTGTTTCGCTGTTGTTGTTCTAACAAGATAACTGGGTTACTAATATTGCAATTAATTGACATTGATCTGATAATCAAAATGTATAAACTAATATGTGCCAGTAAATATTATAATGTCTATAATAAAAGACAGATGAAAAAAAAAAGAATTGGAAAACCATGCATTATTGCAACTAATAGTAAGTATCATAAAAATTAAATCTATAATCTTTAAAATAAAGAAAATATCCAGAACATTTTAATTCTCGTAAGATCTATTTGTATAATTCATGTCTTTGTAATAAAAGTGCAGGATATTATAATTTTGAATGGGTAATTATGTATTTAAAGTCTTTTATGTATGTTATTTTAGAAAGCAAATTCAGCTTGCAAAAGATCGCAGACAATTTAAACAAGAAAATTCCGAAAGTAAAGTTAACAATTTTATCAACATCAGGTATAGAGATATATATTAAATTAATATATAAAAGTGTTATGTAAATCTCTTTTTACTAAACATTATAATTATGTTCATATAAAGTGTTTTAAAGTGTTATAAAGTTTACATATAAAATTATTTTTACTTCATTTTTATAAATTTTGTTTTACAGATTTTTCTCCAGCTGCCAATTACAATGCTACGTTAGATATTGGTACATCAAATGAAATACTTGAAATCGAAGAAGGCACTTATATTCCGTCAAGCAATAAGTGTGATACTGTACAGTGTAATGCAAAGTCTGATTTTAATTTTACAAATTGTGATAATGCAAATGACAGAGATAATATTAAAGATTCTACGCATTTGACTGAAGATGTTCTTTCTATCGATGAGAATCCTAATACGTTAGTTGTTAGTAACAACAACGAGATGAGTGGTAAGTCTATGATATGTATAATTAATCGGATTATAACACATTATATAATAAACATTCTATATGCAGCTTTTTTACATACTTTGCATGACAATACATTTACAACTTTTGCAACATAATATACTCGCAATAAAAATGTCTCCACTTTATTTTTATAAATTTTATTTTACAGATTCTTCACCAACTGCCAATTCCAATACTACTTTAAATATTGGTACAGCGAAAATAAATTACGATATCGAAAATGTTTCGACAATATTAAGTAAACTTCCTGATGTGAAACAGATCGTTCAATGTTGTAATCAATTTAACTCTACTTCTAAAATATGTGAAAATCCAAATGTCATTGAGAAAGTTAGAAATTCTATAAAAACTCCAAAGATCTCGAAAGTACAAAATGTTAGTATATTAGTAAAAAAGACAATGCGTCCAATGCACAGAGAAAAGGTTGATAATATTATGTACAACTGAATAATACGTATAGTGTCACTAATAACAATAATGTTTTTCCAAATGCAAACAAGGCTTACGTTATCAATAATATTTCAAATGATACATTTGCTCCAATTGCCGAATCTACATTCGTAGAGAATCAGTTAAGTTTAGAGCGTGAAATGAATGATAATAATACTGAGTCTGATACATCCATTACATCTAAAGCTAGTTTCCCACGATGCGATTTTTCGTGCAAGTTTACTTGCGAGGAGCCCTGCCAGCCACCGTGCAGGGTACGCAGCGAGAAAAGTTGCTTGCTGCGAGTAGCGCTGCGTGTAGCGCTGACGGTTTTCATTGATAGAACGAGTGCTATTTTCTCTGCGTATTTTGTTGCTAGGCAGTGTAAGCAAGGAGCCCTGCCAGCCACCGTGCAGGGTACGCAGCGAGAAAAGTTGCTTGCTGCGAGTAGCGCTGCGTGTAGCGCTGACGGTTTTCATTGATAGAACGAGTGCTATTTTCTCTGCGTATTTTGTTGCTAGGCATTGTAAACAGCCAATGATAACTAGCGACTAGATCATGTGACAAAGTTGACATGATCTTGTTTTTTTTTTTGGTTATCATTGTGTGCCATTTTTTCATCCAAAGTCTTCTTTTCATGACGGTTTCTTTCCACTTCTAAAATTAGCAAACGAAAAAGTGCTCTTAAACTTTTCCTGCGTCATTTTTCAAAATTTTTTTTTGAGGAGCAGCGCACAAATTATCATCTGTTCCATCCGCTAAGCTAACTTTGCACCTCGCTCCGTGTGAAGTGAAAACCTGCAGCGCGCCCAGCTTAGCTTTATGTAATGTAAAGCGCAGGGCAGCAAGCAGAAAATCATACATCCTATCCAACACGAAAAATCGCATCGTGGGAAACCGGCTTAAGACTAATTTCGATGATAGTTTTCATTTGTCAGATTGCTCTATGTTTGAAAACACAGATGAAGATGAAAATAAAGATAAAACTGAAAGTATATATACGATTAATACAAGTAAAAATAAAATTGCGAACAGTACATTAAATTTGACATCCTCATTCTCATCTAAAGTATAAGATGATAGAAATATGCATGTAGAAACTTCTGACAATCCTAAATTGAAACTAAATATGTGCCCATATTGTGAAAAATTTCAAACGCAATTTGCAAGGCACTTAGAATCAGTACATAAAACTGAAGAAGATGTGACAAAGTTTCGTTTTTTACCTAAGGGTAAGTTGTATGTTATATACAAAGTTGCCAACATTATATGTATAGCTTCATTCTAAACATAGAGTTAAACTGAAAAAAGTATCATATATAAAAAATTTTGCTAACCATAGTATTTGATCAAACAATTTCTTTCTGATACTTTTCAAATATTAGTAATTTATTGTGTATATTATGTTTAAAATTTTTAATAATTTACTTTTAATTTAATCGTAATTTATCATACATTGTGTACTTATCATTTCAGGTAACCCGGAACGAAAGAAGATTATTGGTCTACTTAGACGACAAGGAAATTTCATATATAATACAAATTTTAACTTAAATAAAGGAGATTTAATTGTGTGCCGGCGTCCAAGAAAAAATTTGGATAGACAAGCAGCCGATTTTATTCCTTGTGCAAAATGCAAAGGTTTTTTTTCTAAAAATAATATAAGACATCATTTTGCGTCATGTGCACAAAAAAGGGAATATCCTCAAAGAAATGTAAAAATATTGGGACGTACTGTGGCTTGTTGTATACATTACAGTGCAAATACACCATTAAGAAGATTGGTATTTCCAGTGATGAGGGAAGACAGTATAACTCAAATTATTAGATACGATGAGCTGTTGATTGGTTATGGTAATAAAATGTGTCAGAAGTATCGTCTCCAACATCAGCACGATATGATCAGAGCGCGACTGAGATTACTTGGACGATTTCTTATAATTTTGAAGGATCTCGATAACATTACAGATTTTTCTTCAATATATGATCCAACAAAATATGAACAATGCATCAAAGCTGTCAATAAACTCGCACAATTTGATGAAAAGACTTGGACGTATAAAACACCATTGCATCATCTTTGGGAACACTTATAAAACAAGTTGGGGAAATTTTAAGAAGTATGTGTATTAAGAAACAGGTTATTGCTACAAATACGATGGTAGAAAATTTTTTGAAATTATTTGAAGAGGATTATCCTGTCACTGTAAATCAAAATTATTATTTATTTAATATTTCATGAGAAATATTACTGTGCGCAATATGTGCAGCCGCTAGTTTGTTTGTTTACCGCTGTGCAACGCGCGGGCGATAAAATTATATTCAATATGTTATCTTTAAAATATCATATAAAGTACCTTGATAACATATTCTGGACTACTTTTGAATGCCCTATAGATGTTTTAAGAATTACGATGCCTTACGGACATCTTATGGACATCCGTAGGACTTTGAAATGGAATATCCTGAGGATATTTCTAGGTATAGCATGAGGTGCTCATTTGCTATTCCTCAAGACATCCTGAGTATATCCCGGGATAAAATTTAGATATCCACAGGATATCCGTAATGTCCGTCCTGGATGTCCTTCGGATTTCCCGAGGATGTCATAGTGCTGTCTGGGTCATTTCACGGTGACTTACAAAAGATTTTAAAGTGATTTGATGAAGTATAATAAATACGTATCTGCAATTAGAATAGTTTTCAAATATAAATACAGATTTCAAATACAGATAACAAGTTTAATCAAATGTTACGTCCAGACTCGGGGAAGAATGAGTCGACGGAAGGGCGCAACAACTATCTTTAATTTTCCCGAAAGATAGTTGTTGCGCCCTTCCGTCGACTCATTCTTCCCCGAGTCTGGACGTAACATTTGATTAAACTTGTTATCTGTATTTGAAATCTGTATTTATATTTGAAAACTATTCTAATTGCAGATACGTATTTATTATACTTCATCAAATCATTTTAAAATCTTTTGTAAGTCACCGTGAAATGACCCAGACAGCACTATGACATCCTCGGGAAATCCGAAGGACATCCAGGACGGACATTACGGATATCCTGTGGATATCTAAATTTTATCCCGGGATATACTCAGGATGTCTTGAGGAATAGCAAATGAGCACCTCATGCTATACCTAGAAATATCCTCAGGATATCCCATTTCAAAGTCCTACGGATGTCCATAAGATGTCCGTAAACGTGGGGAAAGCGGAGGTTCGGTCGCTGGAGTGATATAGTCGGGGAAGTAGATGGGGGAGTAACTGGGGGAGGAGTATCTTGGCGAGGAAGGGAGAGTAGGTTCAGTGGATACGCGTAGTGGTTTTTTTATATGCGTGTCGCAAAATTCGCAGTTTAACGGACGGCGAGTCCTCCGACTCCTGCGAATTGCTATTCGGCTGGATGTTATAGTATATGTAGTACCGGATCTGGTTTTCACTACGAAAGCAGAGTGAGTGTTATGTAGCGCTTATTTATTGCGAGGATTAATGGTATAAATGAAATAGATGAATGTGACTTACTTTTTATTTCGAAGGTGAAAGATGCAAGTTTATAGTTAGACTGGGTTCGTGCCTTGTGGGTTGCTCTGGTTGCGGTTGACCAACGATGATGATGGATGAGGACACTGGTATAGCACTATTAATTCTGATTTTGCGTATCGCGGTGCCAAGGAACTTAAAAATATGTCGAAGCAAGTGAGGACACTGGTGGCACAAGTGCCTAACTCGCGAATTACGGTGCAAAAGCACAGAGTAAGACTGCGTGAAGCTGAAGACTGGAGAATAAGTGCGTAAGTGAGTTCGAGTCCTCTTTTTATATCTCTCTTTTCGGGGTGTATTCTAATTTCTAAGAGTGGGAATCTTCCAAAACTTTAACGAATTAAAAGTTGTGCCAGTGTCCTCATTAGGCGGGGTGTTTCTCCTACTTTTCAAATTTTCACTCATGACGATCGTCGATTGGTGATCAGTTCAGAGTCCCTTGAGCTCTAGGTTTCCCTTACGCCCGTGATTTGATTTAGACAAAGTCCAAATGTGACGTCACAAAAGTTTCGTCATTATTTATTTAGTTGTATTCATCGGATGTTTTGTGAGAATTTTATTATCTTTTTGTTATCAGTTTTTTATTCCGCTGGAGAATTCTACTGCGAGGGTATCTACTGGTTTTTATTTGTTTTTCGGCGACCGGCGCGGTTTCGTCGCGTCTTTCTCACGGTTACTCGTAGATATAGATATTGATAAGTGACTAAATGTTTAAGGAATGTGTGACGCAAGATGCTCTATTTACCGAACGACTCATTTCTATCACCGATCGATTATCATTGCCGCAACTTCGTGGAAGGAAGGAATCGTGGAGTCACCAGGACGTAACACAAATAATATGTAAATTATATGTTTATTCATACTTATCTGCATAATAATTATAATTTTTTCTTAACGTTTAAAAATATATTTGTGTAATACTATTTATATTAACAAAGGAGAGAAAGACAGAATTTTATTTAATAAAAAACATACCTTTTAATATAATTGGATTTCATTTTATACTAAAAATTTGCCTTTTAATAAAATATTAGTATTAAGGTAAGTTAAAATGTAACAAAGTCTAAAAACAGAAATTCACAATATTAAATAAGAAAACAGAAAGTACAATATGTTTGTTAAAAATTAAGTTTGTAATCGCTATATATATATATATATATA